CTGAAGAATAAAGGGATAGCAACTTGTCTGTTCCCCTTCCCCCAATTCCCCAGCACTGTTCCCATCCCCCAATTCCCCAATAAAAATCTTAAAAAAATTTTTAAAAATACAGAGAAATATGGTTAATATATACTAATAAGATAAACTCATCCCTTAAATTTAGAATTTGCATATTGTTATCCTCAGACCTTTAAAATAGATGTATGGATGATGGATAGATTATACATAGAGTTGAAGGCCTTCCTCCTTCTCCAAGTTCCATTCTCCTCTCCTTCCCTGAGGGCGCCCTTATGACTTCGGAGCTTTTTTGGGAAGCGGCTGCTAGCAAGTCTTTGAAGCATGGCTCTGATTTTTGATAGGCAGAGCTGGGGGGAGGGAAGGCATTCCAGGGAGAGGGTATGGCACAGGCAAAGGCATAGACGTGGGACAGCTGGGGGAGCGCCTGTGCTTTGGTTTTCTGTGAAGCATGTGACAAGTATAGGAAGGGGATGGTGGCCATGAGGCTGAGAAGATGGCTAGGGCCTTGAACATGGAGACACTGAGTGCCAGCGAATGAGAGGTCTGTATCCGGGTTTCTAAGTAGAGGAGTGTGAGGTGGCCAGAGGCTGGAGGCAGAGCGGCTAAATTAGGAGCTGTTGCCAGTGTTTACAGAGAGAGTAAGAGGGCCTGGATGGGGGTGACGACAGAGGAACTGGGGAGATCATAGTGGCCCTGGGTAGGCAGCGTCAGACGTCTAAAGGAGACTGTCCGATGACAGGAGGAGGGGCCCATTAGTGAGTAGAAATGAGTGTGAATGCGCGCGCGTGTGTGTAATGTGTATATGTATGTGGACACGTATCTCCTAAGAAGTCAGAGCTGCCTCCTTGAGTAAGGAGGACGTGTTTACAAACACCAGTAAAGACCTCGGCGGACACATCACTGGGGCCCGCCAACACAGTAGGGCTGGAAGAGCCCAGAAAGGTGCGGAGGGGCCCGGGAAGCGGAGGGGCGGGGTCAGAAGTGGTAGTGCCCAGCACCTGGCAGGGGTGAAGCCCTCTGTGGGGCTGGCCTGACTCTCCTTTTGCGCCCCTCCTCTTTAGGGCCCTGATCCAAAGGTGGCTCCTCGTTACCGCATCACCCAGCAGCCGACTAAAGGGTTTCTAGGGGCCAGGTACGTGGCGTCCTGGTTGGAGAGCTGGTGGGTACCAAGTCCGCGCCAGGCCCCACCTCCTCCTTGGTCCTGGGCTCCCCTTCCCGTTGCTATGACAGCATCGGAAAGCTGCCAGTGGCGTCTCCCCAGGCCTCCCGCCTCTCCCCGACACCCAGGCCACGCCCCCCTCCTCCCGGGCGGCGATTGGTGGATGCGTTCCGTTGCTATGACAGCACCCGGCTGCCAGTGGCTCCTCCCCGCTCCTTCCCGTCCCTCCGCCCTCTCAGGGAATGAAGCGGGTCTGGCCACGTCTCCATGGCGACGGCGGACGCGGCGGGAAGGGCAGCCGGTACCTACCCGCTAGAGACGAGTCGTCGGCAGCGGGGATCGAGAGTGGGGCGAGGCCATGTCGGACCTGGGCTCGGAGGAGTTAGAGGAGGAGAGAGAGAACGATCTTGGGGTGAGCGCTCCGGGTGAGGGAGGGTCTTCCGGGGCGCGCGGTGGCGGGCGGGTCCCCGGTTGCCCAGTTGGGAGAGTGGAGAGGATTGAAACCAGTCACAGTCACCCCCGGAGGCCCAGCCAGGGACGGGGACCACGCCGGCCACAGCGGCGTGGTGGCGAAAGGTGACACGTTATGACGTCGGCTTGCCACATCCTTTCTCGCCGTCCCCCCTCCCCAACCCGCCTCCCGTTAAAGGCAAAGATTTGCGAGTCAAAGGCGTCGGAAGCGTCCTCCTCCCTGCGGTTACGCTCCATCCGGGCAGTTTTCCTGGACGGCCGGGGCATCCCAGCTGCCACACTGTTCTGCCGTATGAGTATGTCCGTAACGGAGCGTGGCTCCCTAGGACTGATGGACGAAGGGAAGCTTCCTCCGGGGAGCCTTCAGGACATGCTGCGGAGGTCTCCGGCTCCGTGAAGGCGCCCTGAAGATGTTACCCATGCACGCGTGTCATCACAATGTGCTTTCTTCACCCTTGTGGGGCTGACCCAGGCCGCCGGAGTTAGTCCCTGGTTTAGGCAGCAGAGAGGAGGCCGGGGGATGCACAGCCAGCGAGATGAGCTGGGCTCTGCGTGGGCACCGCCCACACTCACCCCCCGAAGCCAGAGCGTGGCCATTTCCTGGCTGACAGGCTGGAGCCTCAGCCTCTGTGTGTGTGCAGGGTTCAGAGCTGAGATAGTTTCAGAGTTAACTGAAAAGCCTTGCAACCTCTGCGGTAAGACATGCTGTCTGTGGCTGCTCTGTGCATCCGTCTCCCAACCTCTTCCTGCTCCTGCTCAGGGAGCATGTCTATGCATTGAAGCCACCTGGCCACTAGGGGGAGCCAGAAATGCCTGGGAGCTACAGGGCCCTGGCAGGCAGCAGCTGGTGCTAACAAGTAGGACAACCTGCAATGGTCTACATTCCAGAATTCCCTGTGCCATGAGGTCGAGTCTGGTACATCACCCCACGTCACTCACTTTCATGTCTGTCTCCCTGCCTCCACTTACTGGTTTCCCCCGAGCACCTTTTAAAAAAAATCAGTTGCCCAGGGTCTGCTTTTGGGGAAAACCAACCTACCACACCTGTCCAGTAAGCTTTCTATTGTAGTCTGTCTCCTCAAATGGCTCCACTGATGTGTAACGTTTCAGTGCCTAAAGATATGCTGCCCGGGTGTGGTTACCTACATCACCTGTAAGACTGGGCTGAGGATTGGGAGGATTCGATGGAATACTATTTGTAAGATGCTTAGCATATGGTTGGTGCTTTAAAAATAGCAATTGTAATTATCCTTTTTTTTTTTTTTTTGCCAGGAATACGAAGGGGATCGGAACGAGGCAGGTGAAAGGCATGGCCATGGGAAAGCGAGACTGCCCAATGGGGACACGTTCGAGGGGAGCTATGAACACGGTAAAAGACATGGCCAGGTGAGAATGGGTGACTCGAGTAGATAGTTTTCTCTAATACTCTATCAGTTAGTATTAAATTCATGAGTGATAATCTTATATTCAATGTGTTTCAGGGGATCTACAAATTTAAAAATGGTGCTCGATACATTGGAGAATATTTTAAAAATAAAAAGCATGGTCAAGGCACTTTTATATACCCAGATGGATCAAGATATGAAGGTAAATGTTCTCACAAAGTGGATTTTTGCGTTACATAGATCTTCTTTCTGGGCTGAATATACCTGTGAAAAGTGAGATAAATGAGAAAGCTTCAAGTTCTCTAGTCAGTCACTCAACAAAACCCACATTCCAGCATTTACAGGGTTGATGCAAACACCAGAAAGCCTGGAGGTTGTGAGAAAAGTGACTGTCCCCGTGACCAGCACATTCTCTCCTGTGACCCCATGTACTGAGCAGCAAATGTAAGGGAGGCTGCTGGGCGAGCACAGACCTCGGGGCGTGGGTCGCACCCATGACGTTGGACACTCTGTAGTGTTTGTCTCCTTGACATTGGTCTTGCTGTTTCTGTTTCTGACGGACCCCTCTTGTAATGAGCACACTGGTTGTTTAGACCTGGCGGTGCCTTCACTGAGGGTCCCTGCTCGGGAGGCATCCTGCTTTGTTAAATGGGTGTCCTGATCTCGGCCACAGTTCTTTCCATGCCAATGTTATGTCTTGGGAAGGTTCTTGTCCCCTTATTTCCAAGAACCCCACTGCTGCCCCAGGCACCGTTGTCACCTGGTGTGCCTACCGTATTAGTCTAATCCCAACAAGGGAAGAAGGAAGTTCTGAGCCTGGGAAGAGAGATGATAAGCGGGCAATGGGTGTGAGCCTTCGGAAATGGTGTGCAAAATTCTATGTCTTGGACTTCTTTTCTGGGAAGAAAGTCATCGAGTTTTCATCAGATTTCCAAAAAGATCTGTGACCCCAACCCTGGAATTGTGGTGACAAGAGGTGTGCCCTTGTGCAGGGGACCTCACCCCTCCTTGCGTCAGCTTTCTCATCTGCAGAATTACTACACTTGGAGCACTGAGAACCATGCCTGATGGATGGTAAGCACTCAGTAAATGTTGGCCGGGCAGCCATGTTCCTGTGTAGAGCCTCATGCCTTAATGAGGACATACCCTTAGAGTGCAAGCTAGAGTTGTCTGTCTTGTTGCAAGATGAAACCAGAAACCAGGAATTCTAAAACAGAAGTTTTGTCAGAATCGGAGGCCAACTTGGAGAGTGTTACAGCTCTTCCTGTTAGAGATGGAGTTTCTGTTTTGTTCCATAGATCTCAGAAGCCTGCCCCAGAGCAAGGACCTGCCGCTTTCCAAATCAACCTTAAACGATTTAACCGAGGGTTTCATTTAATTCTTTCCAAATCCTTAGAACCCAATCTCATTGTTGTCATTTTTTTTATTCCAGTGTAGGTTTTAATACAATTTGAACAACATATATATATATATATATATATATATATACATATATATATATATATATATATATATACACACACACACACTCAGAAAAAGGGATGGAACGGATTTTTACTATGAAGGTTAGCTAACATAACATATAAAACATCTTTGGAAAGAGTTGTAAATTTTGGTTTCTCCTCATGGTTTCACATCTTAAAGGGTACAGGGTGCAGTCACCCCTCAGTTCCTTCTCTGAGCTCAGGAGCTACAACATTGCTTTTAGCTCAGTGAGTGAACCGTCTTCCCATCACGAAGTCTAGGTGAACACGTGGCCGAATTCTTCCCACCCGTGTTTTGGCCCACTGCCGTGGAAAGGCGCACACAGCGGTTCCCTGGAGGTCCCCCAGTGTGCTCAGAGCCGCCCGAGGCACAGGGCATAGCACCGCCTCCCAGTCTGATCAGGGGGCCAGGAGCAAGCGGAGGCTGCAGCACTGTGACAGTGGGGGGGGGCGTTCCTGGGTTTGTGGGTGACTTGAGCAGAGGCAGGGAAGCAGGGGTGCTTAGGAGGTAGGGATGAGGTTGGAGGGATGAGTGGGTGTCAGAGATGGAGGGCCAGTGAGGGTTATGAGGTTGGGAAAGGCGAGGCGAGAGTGTCACTCTCCATGCTGGTTCTGTGACCTGCCAAAGGGAACATGTTTAACAATGAAATTGTGCAGAAACAAGATGATAGCACTTGAAGCTGGCTTTTTTGGAAGCTCTCAGATGGCAGGAGCTGGAGGAAGAAATGAGCGCCTGGCTATTGGGGTGCTTGTGGAAAAGCAGACATGATAAAGAACCAGATAACCCGGTTTTCTTTATCAGTCCTGCTGTGTGACTTTGGGCACTGTGCACGATCCCTCTGGTTTTCGGGTGCTGCATCTGTAAAACCGTGTTTTGATTATTACACATCCCAAAGGAGATGGCAAGTGCAAAAACTCCAGCTGGTGGGTCCCCACAAACTCTAGCTCCCTTCTCTTCCATGTTTCTCTGACCCCGCAGTGGGGGAGGGGGCAGCACGGCAAGCCAGTGACTAACCCACATTTTAGATGAGGGGAGAGTGTCTTGTTCTCCATCTTGTTAGGGCTTTTAATTTTTAATTAAAAATGGTCTTTAGTCCCCAGAGCGCCAGCCTGAGAGCCATGGGGAGGAACATAGGTTGGATACACACAGAGAGCTTTATAACTGACAGGTGCTCTCTCAGAGGAAAACCCAAACCGAACCACCAACCAAGTAACCAACCAACCAACTGTAGGTTGAAAATAAATGTAGTTGAAAAAAACTTCAGTTGACAAGATCAAGAATGATGAGAAAGTATAGGGTTAGGGGTAGAAAGACTTGAAAAAAAGAAAGTTAGGTGCAAATTTAAAGCAACAGTAATAAAGTTTCTAAATGGCACTCACTTCAAGAGAGAACCTGACTGGTGGCGTTGACAGCCAGCTCCAGGAGGTGAGCTTTCTCTCTGTTGGCCACCTTCCCCAGTTCTGCATGGTTTCCTGGATTATACTGTGATGATAATTATTATAATAATTGTTATAATTGGATTGTAATCTGCTGGGCAATGTCTCTAACAAGTTGTTAAGTAAACCAGGACTTGTAACAAAGTTTGCCACCCAGTCCTCACTGGCTTGAGATTTAGTGCCTTTTGCAATTTAATTTTTTTCTTTCACTTTTGAAAAATTTCTGCAGACTCCTTAGTGTACTGTTGTTTCCACACTACCCTGGAGATCAGCTCCCACTGTCAAGAGAAGAGGCTGTCATTGTTTTGTCATGGTCTTTCGTTGGGAAGACACCAAATGATGCGTTTCAGTGAGGTCCCTGCCCCCCGAGGCTGTTCTGGGGTCACCTGTGATGGCCCACAGAGCCCGTCCTGCAGTCTTTGCCCACTAACTCCATGCAGAACTGGACACTGGCTATGGTGGGGATATTCATATCACAGAAATTGGAAAATGCTACAAACCAGGGCTGCTGCTTACTTTTTTTTTTAACTGGTAATTTACCAGGACACCACTGCCCCCTAAAATCCAGACAAGTACTCCAAGACCCTGCACACCCTGAATATCCTCACAGCCACTCCAGGGTCAGCAGTGACTGTCATCTCAGTTTGGGGATTCTTGCTCCTCTTGTCCCTGTCACACATCACACCATGGAACCCATTCCTCTTCCTTAATGGCTACCAATTGCCACCTCCTCCTCTCCATGAATTTGTGGTAAACCTGCCTTTTTTTCTGGGCTGTTGCCCACTTTCAGAGACCAGCTCTCTCCGCTGCCTCACTCTGAGCTCTGCGGATGCCCGTGTGTCTGCCGTCCCCAGACTGAGTGCAGGTTCCTGGGGGCCCCGCTGTCTGCACAGCTGCTCGTCTGTCTCTCAAAGTGCCCAGGGTCTTGTAGGACCCGCTGATGGAGGAAATAAGTAAACGTTCCCTTTTGTGGACAAACTTTGGGGCTTATCCATGTAAACACATATTTCTTGGAGAATTAGCATATTCTTAGCATGCTGTGTATTCTTTATCTTCATGCAGAAGCCAATCCAGTGTTTACATAAGCCAGAAGTTTAGACAAGTTTGGGGGCTCTCTTTAAGAAAAATAATACAAAGTTGATATAAAAGTGGATTTTTATTTGTGATGAGAAATCAAAACCAATAAAAATTTGAAAATACCACAAAAATCACAAAATCTGGGGAAATAACAAGAACTTTTAAAAATTCATGTCTGACACACGCCTTTCCCCTCCCTACCTTTGTTAGGGGATAATGGGACATCTCTCTAGCTGACGAGAAGTTTGTCGTATTTTCTATGGAGAAAATAGAGAACTTCATCTTTTCCCTTTGATCAGCAAATTGATTGAAATTCGTATTGTGATTTTTCATAGTCTAGAAAAGTGTCATTCAGCGTAACAACTTGTTATTGGCAACGCTGTGCTCCAATTTTAGGGTAGCTGTCAACTTTGGGAACCTCTATCAAGGTTCTTTCACAGGTGAGCTGTGAGATTTGAGGACATGGTGGGTTTTCAGTGCAGGGCTAGTTCATACCTGTTCACCGACGACATTCACAAACTAGCTCGCTGCTGTCCTATGGCAGAGGTGTGTTGTGCATTCTATGATAGCTTTGCCGGTTTCGGTAATTCCTATCAAGTCAGCAAGAAGCGAGCAGGACCCCGCATGGAAATGAGTAGGCAGGACACTCAGTGAGGGAGGGGTCCATGCAGAGGCCCTGTTGGCAAAGTCACAACATCCGCTGGCAGGAAGCTGTGTGAGGTATGGGCTGTGCTGGGCGGCTGGGCTGGAAAGGTGCGTTGGGGCCAGGTGGCGAGGTGGGGAGTGGACTGGAATGCTGGCAAGTGGCCGAGGACAGCCCATCCCGCCTGGAAGCGATGGCTGGACCACTCACCACAGGCAAGCCAGAGGAGTGTAGGGCAGACCAGCCCTCGTGTGAGTCCTCGCTGTGCTGCGGGCCCACTGTGACACCTGCTGCCGGCTCGCGGGGCAGTCTGCGTGGTCCCCTTACGTGCACCACTCCCTGCTGACTGGCGGGAGGGAAGCCAGAGGAAAGAGCCGGGTGAAGGGCAGGCGCCCTCTTCTCAGCTGGGCTTGCTGTGTGTCGTCCCTTCCAGGGGAGTGGGCCAACGACCTCAGGCACGGCCATGGTGTGTACTACTACGTCAACAATGACACCTACACCGGAGACTGGCTTGCTCACCAAAGGTTCGGTTTTCTCTTTAGTCCTGTAGATCGATTCATGTAATGTAACAGTGTCTCATTAAGAAACACAATCCTGACAAAAGCGCACTAGCCCACTCCGCCAGGCACTTCAAACCCTCATGGCTTTCCGGGCGCCTGCTGGATGGCGCACTACGGGTAGGGTGCAGCCCACCCCTGGCAGGAGAACACGTGGGTCCTTGACCTCCCATCCCCGGGGGTGAGGACACTGAACCTTTTGGGGGACTGAGCCTCCGCTCCCCGGAGCGCTGCCTCTTCCCGGGGAGAGCCCTCTGGTCTGCAGGCAGGCGCCCCCACCGGCAGGTGATGCCCGCTGTGCTTGCGCACGCGAGCAGGAGGCGCGCTTTAACTGGGCAGACATGGGAGCCAGTGGCAGCCTGGGCC